CGGGTCCGGCGGATGAGAACTAGTCGTCGTCCCAAATCCCGGCCACCAGATCTTGTTCTTCTTGGAACAGTGTATTGGGGGGAGAGTGGAGTGGCGGGGGGCGAAGTAGCACTGCTGAGGGTGGCAGATGGGTTCTCATTTTAGCTGGCTAGCAGGCCAGCTAGCTTTTCCACTTGAGGGCACGAGCGGTCTCTCCCACGCGGCTATGTGTAGTCTTGTCAATCTTTACCGCTTACCTGACCCCAGCCGCCCAAAAATTTCAAGCCCATTTGAAATTGAAATGTTTTATCGGAGGGACACGAGAGGTTTTTGATCCCGCTCTATATATGTCTGTGTCACGGAGAGCAGCTGCTCACTTTTTTTAAGCGTTCCCTCCAGATTTAAGACGTGGCTCAGCTGAGGCCACCCTTTTTTCTTAGGTTCTCCTTGCCATGTGTCGGTGAGATGTGTTCCATGTGTGCCCACATTCAGAAAGACACAAGAGTTGTACGCTTTGCCCCTTTTGGGCAACAGACGAATTATGCAGCTGATTCGGTCCCGGTGGGAACAGTACAATCACTGTTCTCGGCGCGGTCCGCGCCAAGGACAAGGAATAATGGACCAGCTCAGTGCAGCAGCTGCACTTGGGGGAAGCGGACGCAGGCCAACGCTCAACCACCCGAAGCATTTAATAAGCTCCTCCGTCCCGACCGGTCGTTCATCAGATTAATTAACCTCGTCCGTAGAGAAATATAGTACTAGTAATTGCCCAAGTCGTCGGCCTAATCGGATTTTTTTACGACGGCAATAAGTATCATCAGCGTCGGGTCAAAATTATTAATTAAATGACTCTCCTACAGGCTCACCCAAATATTATTGAATATACAACGCCCACACCAACGACGGCGGCTGTTTCCTTATAATGGTACGGATGTAATATACTCCCTCCGTTCCAAAATATAGCGCGTCCTCGGTTTTCGTGCTTCAACTTTGACCATTAATTTAATCAACAAGACCGACTGCGGCGGGCGAAAAAATTATACCAATGAATTCGTATTCAAAAAAAGTTTTTAATTATATAATTTTTGATCCCGCCGCAGTCGGTTTCGTGGGTTAAATTTATGGTCAAAGTTGAACCTCGAAAAGCGTGGACGCGCTATATTTTGAAACGGAGGGAGTAATTAGAATGCAGAAAATTTCATTATACCATCCCGTTCTCATTCAAGTGACAGCGGCATACACTAGACGTGGACATCAACTCATAATCCACAAGGAAAGCATAGAACACACACACAGACAATCAAGTGCGCCACATGGCCTTGCGACGGCGATGCATGCGAAAGCAGAAAAGTCTAAGCTCGCACTTAAACATCCCTAGTATACTAGACGCGGACACGCCATGACGTTTTATTCGACTGTACGCCGCCGTTTAGTGGGCTGGCTGCTAACCTCCTGCTCATCGTCAGGACCATCCTCTCCGCTGGTGTCAACTACTCCGGACGCAGACACCACGGCGGAGCCACCATTGCTGTGTGTGGACTGGTCAGGGATTGCTGGATCGTAATCACTGAATCCTTCTTCTGCTGGAACTCGGTCAGCTTTCTGATCCAGCTCTTGGTTATGAGGAACCGCCCGAGGCTCTTCCTGCTGGATCGCATCGCCCTAAGAAAAAATCAGACAGCACGCGGGGGTTGAACATTAGAATTTTTCGGGGGAAGAAAGTGAAATTCGAAGTCACCAGGGCTCACCTCTCCGTCGCCGTAGAAGACGAACAGTGGGTCATCAGTTGTACTCCAAGCGCTCCCTGTGGATTCGACGCGTTTTGGCGACGACGACTGCATAAGGTGACCAATTGGTCAGGACCCCCATCCGTGCCAATGCTGATGCAGACACAGGAGGAAGAGGAGATTTTGCTGGACAGGGAGATTTTTACCTGCAGATCGGAGACGATGAACGGCACGAGCTCTTCACTGCCCATGGTTGTGCCGCTCCATGCTGGTTCAGCAGAGGAGAGACCCGTCGTATGCAGCGGGCGGTTTCAAAAAAATTCAAAGTCGGGATGGGAATGGCGCTGTGGGATCAACTGTGTAGCAGCCGACCCTTGCACCTCCTATTTATTCAGCACTTGAGTTAGGACGCAGTTTCGTCATGCATTAATTTCATTTTTTGAATTTTGAATGAGGACAGGACACACATTGTCACCGCGCGCACCCTGTCTGTGTGCATGTCGTCCAGGTGTCAAAAATGTAACATGAAAATGACGTCGTTTCCGGGGGAAAAATGCCAGCAGCCTGATTGCTTGATTTATCTGGAATGGCTCTTCTGCCAGCAGTCATGGTATCCACGTTTTTCAAATTGAAGCAACAGAACAGCATGAACCACGGCTGCTGCTGGAAAATTCAGTTATCAGTTTTAGCGCTACAGAAAGAAAGATTGTGCTCTCAGATACATCGTCGTACACAGGCTGTCTACACTGATAAAAATACAGATGCATTGCTCACCCACCGTAAACACTCAAGGAAAATCGCTCAACCAAATCACTGAAACATGAGCCATTCCGATTCCATACAACTCAGTGCTCGGCAACCCCAAACGGCCTCTTGCATGTATTCCGTCGATGCCCTTCTATTCCACAGTTCTTGCATTTGCCAGGTTTTCGTGGCTTCTTTGGCGCATCCCCCCTTTCTGGGCACATCGTCTTCTTATGACCTTCGCGGCGGCATATGCTGCAGAATCTTGTCCTCTTGCTTAACCCCTCGTACGGAGCCTTCTCTCAGCTGCTTGTCGGTCTCCCAGCACCTCTATGCTTGTCTGGAGCTGCTAGATTTTGCATTGCATTCACACTGACAGAATGACCGGGGCTCCGGCATTGTTCAGTGCCCAGCGGGACAAACGCTAGTTCCCCATTTGGGCCTGGTATTGCAGGTGTATGTTCAACGAGCCGATCCTCGAAAGCCAGCCCATCTCTCTTCTCCGCAATTGCTGCCCCACTCTGTAGCACAGCGTCGAGAGCCGCGTTCACATGATCATATGATGCAGCACTTGCGTCTCCCATCCTCACGACTTCCATAGCTTTCACATATAGAGTTGCATGCCTGTATGTGAATGACAGGTTTTGTGAACTGTCTTTCTGGTACTGAACCAGGTGCCCAGGCAGTACATTTCTCGCGTCCCTCGTCCACCGCTTCATGATGTGATGCTTTGGTATCTCCTCCATGTGAAGAATTTCCATCACCTACACGGCAAAAGAAGATAACATGTCAACAAGCCCGCAATTCTTTGTTACTTTGTAATAAAATCCTTGCTGACAACTTTTTGTTTACCCTCAACGAATGGCTGCAAAGCATGCCAGTATGCTCGAACTTGCCGCACTCGCAACTGAAGATCGACATGTCTTCGTTTATTGTTACCTCATACTCAACCCTGCTCCACTTCTCCCTTTTCGCTGCGTTATTGTGAGTGGTGATGTATCTCCTCATCCTATCGACATCAGTGACATTGTACGCGGTTCCTTCAACCAGGAGCTCGCCAAACCGCTCGAACATGTTCCTAGTGTATATTTTGCTGGCATGGCGCTCTATCGCGAGGTTAGTTCATCTTACCGGGCCCCCTGCATCAATTGAACCAATCAAGAAGGTGAAACAAAAAAAGCAGGGCACGGAGTTTTTTAGATCTCCTCATATGATTTTGTTCATGCATCGGAAACAATTTTTTTTGGCCAAGCTGGCGGAAGGGCAACTTACTATCATGGTCCTCTTCTCCTTGTAGCTTTCATCGCGCTCTCTGTCAAATTGCAGCCTCATATACTGCCTGACAAAGACATGCATTGGGCTTGCAGGGGGCATGTATGACTTCAGCATGTGGTTTGCGCTCTCACTGCGCTGGGTGCTTGCCATCTTTGCGCAAAACACACGCCTGAAATATGGCTTGGCCCATTTCCTCCGGGTTTCATATATTTGTGTCATGTAGGCGTGACTCCTCAAGTTGTACTTATCCAGCAGCGCTGCCCAAGCTGATTCGAACTCTTCTTCCGTTAACATGTGGTTCACTACCTTGTGAAATTCAGCCTGAAAATCGCTCTTCTTCGTGTATAGTGGGCCCAACGTTTCCTTCGCCTTCTTGAGGACATGCCACTTGCACCAACGGTGGACAGTGTCACGATAAGTTCTCCTGATCGTGACCTCCATCGCCCTACACTGGTCTGCAGTTATAAAATCAATTTACCAGTCACCTTTAAAAAAAATAGTTTACTGGATTTTTGGAGAATTGAGCTCATTTTCTACTTATCCTGTACATATCATGTGCAAGACATCCATCAAAATATTTTTGTTAGTCCATTCCATTTTTTTATTGCATAGCGCTGACCTGTGAGTATAGTTCTGGGGGCAGGCCCGCCCATCATACGAAGAAATTCCGCGAAAACCCACTCGAAGCTCTCTTCTTGATCATCGCGCATTAACACCCCCGCCAGGATGATGCTCTGGTAATGATTGTTAACTCCAACAAATAACCCGAACGGCATATCATACAGGTTTGTTCTGTACGTCGTGTCAAACGTTACCACATCCCCAAAGAATTTGTATTGCATACGGCTGCTGCCATTCGCCCACATTAGATTTTTGACCTTACTTGTCTTGTCAGCCAGCACCACATAGGTGAACCCTGAATCTCTTGAACGTATGTCAGCAAACACTTCAAGCGTTTTCCAGACATCATTGTCAGCTTGTTCACGGCTAATCTTTCCACATATATTCCCGAGTGTCCTCTTTGTGAATGGCACCTTCTCAACACACCCGAAGAAACTCCCAATTATGTTGTACACCTTTCCCAAAATTGACATTGTTTTCCCTTAGTTGCCTAATCAGATCCTTGGTGTAAACATCTATGTGTTTATGTGACGGCCAGTGCACCTTCTCACCCATAGTCAGCGACAGAGAATGGTTGTGATTTTCTCGGTGTTCAGTGTTGTAGCAACTGTTGTCCGATACTCACAACAACCTAATCAGTGCTGTACACTCACATCAGCATGATCTGCTGTTCTCTGCTTCCGGTTTTCCCTGCAGGGAAATAATCACACAAAAATAATTATATCAATTCCGCGTGCTCCCATGCGTCCACAATAATCCCATGTGCACGTGTAATGGCACTTACCGAGCATCCACAAACAATTTCCTGCATCGTCTTTGTCCTCTGAGCATTTAGTCTGCTTTTCCCATATCTTATTCCGAAGCCGATCTCCCAGGAATAAAGATTGTAGAATTCGTATGCCTCACCCAACGAGTCGAAGCTGAGGCCTAGTTCAGGCCGCATCACGCTCTTGTCCGGTTGCTCCGCATATTTGCGGATTGTTAACTCCAGAGCAGTCATCCTGGATGGGCATGGCAAACGGTCTGGTGGCGCACTCCCAAGACGCAACCTGCATTTGTTTGGAACTTAACTGCGTAAGTTTACCCAGACACGACAGTTTACAATTTTTTTGCACACCCCCCAGCCGTTAATCTGTACGAGCCTAGCAGAATTCTGATACAGCACTGCACCAAACACGCAAGGAAGCAGATTTGATTGCACATTGGATTTTCATTTTATTTGATGTGTTCCCACTCTCCATGCGTTGGTATTAAGCATGACATAACCCTCCCTCCTGCTTATATGGCAGTTGCAAGTTGCAATCAAATAAGTGCAAAGTAGTTTTTTGCTAACCGTTTAGTCCAGCTAGGGGCCTCTGGATTAACTCGGTCGGTTGACTGAGCAGACCTCGTCGGAGACGCAACTCGCCGTCTCCTGGCATCGCCCTGCTCGTCGGGCGAGACATCTCCACCGGCCAACTGAGCCACCCCAGAACCACGGTTCGCCGCAATAGCACCTTGCTCTCCGCCGCCCCCGTTCTGTAGCAAATACAGAAGAGGAACCAGATCTGGCTGTTCAATGTTATCAGCAAACTCCTCCCACACGGGAAACCTACGGTAGGGGCAGCGAATCGCTTAGGGAAAATCTACACAGCATACGCACAGCCCAAATCTGACCGGGGAGTGAGGAGAGGTTTGACTGACCTGTCCACCGCATCAAGCAGAAACTCCATGCCCTCCTCGCCCATCCACGCGCAGGCCAGCGACGGATATAGGGCGTCCCACACCCAGCCACTCCGCGTGACCACAGCCTCGCTGCCCTTGGCTGTTCTTCCTGATTTGTTTCTCCTACGAAGTTGTTTCAGTTCGGCGGCCAGCCGCTGTCTCCAGAAGGAACGAGGTTAATGGCTGGATATGCTTTTTTTTCTCGACCGCACGTGCATGCTCGGGATGACCCGCCGACCGGCTCAGACAGCAACACCCATCATGGTCTCATTATCCGATCCATGGCCTAGGCGGAAAACAGAAGACCTGATCCACGTCCCAGGCGTGAAGTCCCCGTCCAGGGCCACGGCCCAGTACTATACGGCCCGACGGCCGTCGGGCCTCTCCCCTCGCGTGCACACTGTTCGCTACCGTATTTCACCGTATCTCTCATTTATCTGCGCTCGCAACCACCAGGCCAGCTTGATTTTATAGCATCCCAAGACTGGAACAGACGAAGGAGATATAGGGAGCAGCTGAGCTCAGGCTCCAAATCGGCCCTCTCCATAATATCATCCTTAACTATATCCCAACAGACCTGATAAAATTCAACAGGAATATTATCAGGTCCGGGGGCTCTGTTTGGGGCCATGTCAAACAGAGCAGTCTTCTGTAAATTCTCGACAAAGATCCACATTATCCCCTGCAGAAAGTTTCCCATCACCAGTCCACGTCTCAGGGTTAAGATGGAACAAATTACCAGGAGCTGGGCCAAATAGATCTTTGTAGAAATTAGTGGCATGGGCAATCAGGTTATCAGTGCCCTCTATGGTAACATCATCCCCCACCTTAAGAGAATGGATGGTGTTTTTACGCTTGCGGCCATTAGCAATCTTATGATAGTAATCTGTGTTTAAATCCCCTTTAAGGAGCCAACGCTCATGTGATTGTTGCAGCCAAAAGATCTCTTCATTGACAAGTAACTCGTGCAACTCGAAGTTGGCATCCATCTTCCTACTGTAGAGCTCAGGAGGGAGTGGTCCATCTTCTTTGAGCTCTTCGAGCATGGATAACTCCATTCTAAGGTCCTCCTTCCTCTTCTTATTATGGCCATATCTATCGGAGCCCCACCCTTTGAAAAAGGTTTTGAATCTTTTCAGTTTGATATTCAGGATGTCTATGGGATCAGAAGATTTAACTTTTCTAGTCCAGATCTGACTGACTAGCGGCAGGAAACTATCGTCTTTAATCCAGGAAAGATCAAAACGAAACTCCCTTGGTTTGGGAGCATCTCTCCCCTCCTCTCCCGTGGATATAAGCAAAGGATTGTGATCAGATATCTCATGAACTAGTTTTCGAATAGAGACAAGCGGAAACATGTCTTCCCAATCTTCAGACATGAGGATACGATCCAGTTTTTGCAAAGTGGGGTGGGCCTGTTGGTTCGTCCGGGTATACTTACCCCCATTAATGTGGATCTCACGAAGAGCTAAGGTATTGATGATAGAATTAAACAGATCCAAAGATTTATGATTGTTAAGTTTCTTGTTCTTTTCACCAGAATATCTCAGGATATTAAAATCGCCTCCAACAATGTAGGGCACTTGCATCCCAATACAAATGGCAGCTAGTTCGACCAAAAAATCCCCTTTAAATTCTTCATGAGCTGGACCATAAACTACTATCAAACCCCACTTCAACTTCTTCGGTCTGTCCAGCAACACTAATTGTAGCATATGTTTCCCCTTAACACAGGAGATGATATCTAGCTTGTCACACCTCACACCACATAGGATGCCGCCAGATTTCAAAACAGAAGGAATCCAGTTCCAATGGAAGGATCCAAAGGGATCAATTCTCCTCAAGCACTTAGGGGAGAAGTTTTTCTTCATAGTTTCTTGTAGGCCCAGGAAATCAAGGGAATGGTCACTAATCATGTCTGAGAGGCAGGTGGCCATCCCTTTCTTGCCCACCCCTCGACAGTTCCAAATGAGGCCTCTCATTTGGAACGTTTCTTATGGAAATTGGAGCGAGTAACCCTACCAGGAGGCGTTGTAGGGTTACAAATCATATCTGTCTCTAGGGCACAACTTTTTTGACTTCTAGTCACAGGTCTAGAAGTTTTAATACTTACTTTCTTTCTATTATTCTTCTTGGATTTACTGGAAGAGATCTTTTCAAGGACGTGTTCTTCTTGATCAAGCCATTCTAGATCCACAGGGTTACTTCTGCCCAACCCATCAATTATCACAATATCTTCATCCATTCCCTGAGCAATGGATTCAGTTTTGCTCTTGTTAACTAGCTCACCTCTAACAATCTCTAACTCTCTGATAACATCCACAGAAGTGAACAAGTCATCAGGTATGTCCACCCCCATTTTACTAGCTCTACTCACTAGCTCATAATTGGACAAGACATCAAAAGAATTTTTACAAGCAGGTTTGGAAGTACCTTCAGGGTCTTTTTTGCAAGCCAGCTTCACCGCCCTATCTTCCATCTTGTCCTGCATTCTGGATGCGTTACGCTTGCTGAACCTAAGTGTAGCTTCGGTTGCAAGAGGAGGTGTGAGGACAAACTCCTCAAGATGATCCAGGGATGGGAGTTGTACCACATAGTCACATGAAGTTTTCATGCCTGGATCTGTTTCACCCACCACCTCCACAACCTGAACATCTTGTGAATCTGTCACAAAGTTAGTAGTTTCAATGGGCACGATCCACTTGGAGGAGTTCAGCTTCTCCTCTCTAGCACAATCATCAATCTCCTTCTGCATTGTTTCAATAAGCAAGGAAGTGTCTGCCCCACTATCAGATGAGGCCTCCTCCTCAATTTCTTCATTATCACTAGGCAGCAGGCGACATGCCTTGCCCCCATGATAAGAGTAATCATTTTTGCCAGATCGATGCTTATCAGGTGGGCTCTCCTTTTTCTCCTGATCAGTATGTTTCCTTTTAGAAGTGTACTCAGGATTGGTTTTGTCATCAGCAACAGGATCCACAGGCTCCTCATCAACAGGGTTTTTAACAAGAACCTCTTCAATTTCATAGGTGAATTTATAGAAGCGTCCCCAAGTACTCCTTCCACAGTGACAGGCAGTTGGGATACAGATCTGCATCCTATTTTTGCTCTGACAGAAGAAGGACGATTAATGGTCGACATATCCACTTCCAGGGCGATCCCAACCAATCCCCCCACATAAGCTACAACTTTATCACATTTTTTGTTAGGTGGGATCTTACCAATTCTGACCCATGCAACTTCCAGAAGCCCCTCAGAGTCAATATCCTCAGACCAGGGGGAATATTTCACACTAACTCCACATTGTTTAAGTCTAACATGTTCAACAAAAAGAGCTCTGTCAACCTCTCTAGGATTCGGCATTCTCATAACAAATTTTTGCGGAGCAAAGAATCTAGCCGAACATCTCCACCCCTGACCCACATACACGCTCAGCTCATGTTCAATATCTTTAGTTGGAGCGGACCTTTCAGTAATAGTGACAACAATATTGAAAATGCGCTCTCTAGGCTGCCTATCCACACGAAAATCAGGAATGTAAAAGAAACCTTGCCCTTTGGACTGAAACGCACACATCGCAGGGGTGCATTCCCATGGAAAGAATTCATTGCAAACAACATATAAGTGACCCCTCTTCTTGCAACGATCACAAAGAGCTTAAGGACATCTAGCAGTGAAGTGGCCAGGAGTATTGCAAATCTGACAGACATCAAAAGAGGGTGCATGAGTACTAGAGGAAGTGTGGAGATCTCGATCCCCCGCAGCGGCCTTGTTCTTGGCGGAGGCGCGCGGATCCACGTCGTCGCTGTCCAGGGCTCCCTGCCTCCCATGCGAGGAAGGGGCCGTCAGCTTCCCCGTCGCCTCCACCCCGACATGCTCCTGCCCTGCCTCCGTGTTGCCATCCTAGTGGGACTGACTAACATTGGCGGTATGGCGCTCGCCGGCGGCCTCATCCCACTTGTCGAATCCAGACCCGTCAGATCCAGATGCTCTGGTTGAGGACGAATGCACCGTCTCCGGCTTGCGCTTCCACACGTGGTCGAATCCACGGCCACGACCGCGGTCGAAGCGACCAGCCCCGCGGCCATGGTGGCCCGCACCGAAGCCCTCTCCTCTCATCTCAACAGCTCTAGGTGGAACGAGTGGATTTGTGGGATGGGAAGAAGCAACTACTTGAGCGAAAGATCGACTATCACCATGGATCTTGCCTTCCCACCAGGCGAAGGACTGACGAACCCTAGATCTAATAGGAGGCGGAGCGCTCCAGAAGTGATCGAAACCCTCGTCCAGATCCAAAATGGGGGAAGGGGCGGCAGACGCGTGATTTATATCCGTGGCGGCCCCGGAAACCCTAGGTCCGCGGCGCTCATGGCGGTCGGATGCGCCTCCCCCCACGTGTCGCGCATCAGGGCCATGGCGGATTGGCGCGCGCCTGAGGACCCCTGGTTCATCTGTCACGGGAAGTGGGCGGCGACGCGCCCCCAGGGACGTGCGTTCATGCCCGTGTACCGCGGTGGCCCTAGTCCCCGTACGTGACGGTCCCGCAACGTGTACCGACGAGCCCTCGCCGGGGACCGCTGAGTTCGCCGGAATCCTGTCCAAAACCCTCGCGAAATGGCACGGAAAAGGGACAATGCCACCAATATCGACGAACTCACCTTCCTTGAGGAAGCGCGCATCCACCATGCAGCCTGTGGCGTCGAGGAGGACGATCCTGAGAGCCCCGAAACGGAGCCACAGTTCGCCATCGTCGAACCGAACCTGTCTCGCCGTCACGAGGTCGGCCGTGTAGCGGACTCGCCAACGGACGTCGCCCTCCATCCTCGGTAGGGAGGCGAGCTGCACGTAGTATATCTGGGCGGATCACTACCGAATGATCCTGTAGCCGGGGCGCCTTGTGTGTTGCCAATGTGTAGTGGCGTTTCAAACAAACGAATTATGTGGTTCCATAGGGCACTACTGATATCTAGAAGCTTTTTGGGACCTCCATAGCCCTTTATAAATAAAGGATACGATGATTTTT